TTATTCTTTAAAAACCAAAATTGATGAGCAATTGAGAAAATTACATAGTAAGGTCTTATACTAATCTTCAGTTTCTTGAACCTCACAGAGTTGAGACTTGAGACAGTTCTTGGGAAGCCTGGCTTAATCTTAATTAGTTTAAATATCACAGTAGCACGTTCCATACTACTCATTCAATACCTGGATTAACAGAAGCTCATCCTTCTAAACCAGGAACCAACACAAGTTCTTAGAAATCTGTAATTTATCAAAACTTCAAACTTTTTCTAATCTATGATTGAATTAAGACAAATTATTTTTTCTCTTTCTCAAGAGCTAAGATATTCATATTTCATGAATCTAAAACCATCTTGTTTCATCTCATCTTTCTCAAGAGCTAAGATATTTATCCTTCATTAAACTAAAAACTTCTTGTTTCGTCTCATCTTTCTAGAAAGCTAAGATATTTATCCTTCATTAATCTAAAACCTTCTTGATTCTTCCCATCTTTCTAGAGAGCTAACCTTCTTGTTTCGTCTCATCTTTCTAGAAAGCTAAGATATTTATCCTTCATTAATCTAAAACCTTCTTGATTCTTCTCATCTTTCTAGAGAGCTAAGATATTTATCCTTCATTAATCTAAAACCTTCTTGATTCTTCTCATCCTTCTAGAGAGTTAAGATATTTATTCTCTCTCGATCTAGATCTAAATGTAAAGTTATGTGAAATGTTGTGTGTAAAGTTTTCTGTAATGTTGTGTAAAAAGCGGGTTGTATCGTTGTGTGTAATATTGTGTGTTAAAGTGGACGTGTAATTCTATGTGTAAAAGTGTACGTGTAATGTTGTGTGTAAAAGGGGGTGTAATGTTGTGTGTAAAAGGGTGTGTAATATTGAGTGTAAAAGTTTACGTGTAATGTTGTGTGTAAAAGTGTGTGTAATATTGTGTGTAAAAGTGTACGTGTGATAGGGTGTGTAATATTGTGTGTAAAAGTCAGTGTAATGTTATGTGTAAAAGGGAGTGTAATATTGTGTGTAAAAGTGTACGTGTAATGTTGTGTGTAAAAGGGTGTGTAATATTGTGTGTAAAAGTGTACAAGTAATGTTTTGTGTATAGGGTGTGTAATGTTGTGTGTAAAAATAAAAGAATGACAAGGTTTGGGAATGTGAACTGGAGCAATGATCTTTCAATATACAATGTCCAGGACTTTAAAGGATTTATAAACGTAATAATTTACAAGATGAAAGGGATTGTAAACGTAATAATTTACAAGATTAAAGGGAGTGTGAATGTAATAATTTATAGGACTAAAGGGCTTGTAAATGTAACAGTTTACAGTATTAAAGGGATTGCAAATGTAACAGTTTACAGGATTAAAGGGATTGTAAACGTAACAATTTACAGGATGATAGGTATTATTAATGTAACAATTTACAAGATTAAAGGGATTGTAAACGTAACAATTTACAGGATGATAGGTATCATAAATGTAACAATTTACAAGATTAAAAGGATTGTAAATGTAACAATTTACATAATTAGAAGGATTGTAAACGTAACAATTTACAAGATTAAAGGAGTTGTAAAAATAATAATTTACAAGATTAAATGGGATTGTAAACGTAATAATTTCAAAGATTAATGGGATTGTAAACGTAATAATTTACAGGATGATAGGTATTATAAATGTAACAATTTACAGGATTAAAGGGATTGTAAATGTGATAATTTACAGTACTCAAGGTATTGTAAATGTAACAATTTACAGGATTAAAGAGATTGTAAATATAAAAGTTTACAGGATTAAAGGTATTGCAAATGTAACAATTTACAGGATTAAAGAGATTGTAAATATAAAAGTTTACAGGATTAAAGGTATTGTAAATGTAACAATTTACAGGATTAAAGTATTTTTTGTACAAATGTCAGAAAACATTTATTAGACCTTCTACACCTTAAACATTGTAGATAATCACTTTATAAGTTAGTGTGTGTATTCACTTTCACCTTTTAACTCCGTTAAACAGTGAAAGTGAATAAAAAGTTTAAAACTATCATCGTTACTTTAGTTTTAAACTGCTTCGGCTCACTCAACTTGGAGAAATGAGAAGATTATCATTTAATTGAATTTGTTCCAGAACAGAACCGTGAAAATACGGCCATGCGGTCATACGGATATATTGGATAAATCGATGTATCAAGTCCAACTGACCCAGCCCAGCAGACACAATCTCCAGAAGTGGCGTTTAAGTCCAGTTACAAAGTGGAGTTAAACTCTGCCAAACGTGCCATGGACTTTTGAAATCCTTTAAACAACTGGAGGAAATCTGGTGGTAAAAATCGACTTTAACTCGACTTTTTAAATCCCAGTTTTAACACGTACCTAGTTATGGAACACCTATTGAAGATTTAAACTCCATTTGACAACTATAGTTGTTCCATCATGTTCTGTTTGGTGGGAGTAGACTTGGTCGAACAGGCAAACATTATCAATGACCATGTACACTGCACAGTGTCAGGATTTGAATAAGAGAATGGTTTATCTAGTTCTCGTTAAAGGAATTGAGTTTTTGCCACATATATAAATTTTCTAATCCTGAAATCTTTACAACCTGATTGTGTAAACCTTTGATATTTTAAATTTGCATTTCTAGATCTACCAGAATTTATATTTTAAAATAGCAAAGGTCTACGAAATCGGTTTGCAAGGATATAGAGGTAAGAGATAAAAGTTTGTAGTAAAAACTCCTTTTCTTTCTAGATTTCTTAAATTTTCTAGATCACGAATATTTTCTAGATCTCGAATATTTTCTAGGTTCCTATAATTTTCTAGATCCCTACAATTTTCTAGATCCCTAAAATTTTCTAGATCTCTACAGTTTTCTAGATCTCTATAATTTTCTAGATCTCTATAATTGTCTAGTTTCCTTTCATCATATTCTAATTCGTCCTTGAATTTTCTAGATCCCGATACTCTTTTATGATCCTCTAGATTTTCTCTATTTTCTCTATATTTTCGAATTACTCTAGGTTCTCAAACATTTCTCTGTATAAATCCTAATAATTATATAGACCACATAGGATCCTTTAGATACTTAAAATCCCGATACTGTAGATCATCATATGCTTTAGATTCTTTAGATCCCGCTAGTTCCCCAGATCCTCTAGATTCTTTAGATTCTGAAAAATATTTTGATCATTTAATACTCCAGAATTTTTAATTTTTAAACATTCTCCAGATTGTCTAGATCCGGATAATTCTCAAAATTCTCTATCTGATTACACTGTAGGATTAGTAAAGGTAGAGTAGGTAAATTCTCTAGCTGATTACACTGTAGGATTAGTAAAGGTAGAGTAGGTAAATTCTCTAGCTGATTACACTGTAGAATTAGTAAAGGTAGAGTAGGTAAATTCTCTAGATGATTACACTGTAGGATTAGTAAAGGTAGTGTTGGTAAATTCTCTAGTTGATTACACTGTAGGATTAGTAAAGGTAGAGTAGGTAAATTCTCTAGATGATTACACTGTAGGATTAGTAAAGGTAGAGTAGGTAAAAGTTATAAAAGCGTAACACTGTTAAAGCGTATCAACTGTATATCTATCGATCTGTCTATAGATTCGCTCCATTTAACCTGCACATTTGTCCTTTTTATTTGATTAAGTGGGTCGTTTAGTGCAAGAAGACGGATAGAAGATTGATGTGATTGAAAGTTGTACATTGCAGGGGTTAAAATAGGATAGTTTCAGGGCCGCCTTGTCATTCTAAAATAGTCATAAATTCTAATAAGAAACTGAACACTGGCCTCAAACTCTAATTTTCTGATAACTAAATCTATACAACCTGGTTTTGGAAACATTTAATATTTCAACCTTTGACCATTTGATCTAGCTGAAAGGGAATGACTGGCAATGTATGATAGTTAAACTGAGAATGTATAGTATATTGTGGAAAAAAAATTTATATGTCTCAAATAAATCCTAGAAAAGTTGTCCACAAGAAAGGTACTTGTAATTACAATAGAGGCAGAAGCAGAAAGAGGCAGAAAAAAAAATTCAACCTTAAAAAGTTTCAGGTCATCATTATATTTGTGGGTAAACCTGTATGGTTCATGTATGCCGTATGATGCCAACTGGTCCTTTTTGATTTATACTAACCACCCTTATGAAAAATGTTATTAATTAAAATAATCCAAGAGGATTGACACAAAAGCAAAGCTTGTTTTGTTTGTTTGTTTGGGGAGGTTAAGGTACGCCAAACTGAAATTTATGCGACATCGATGGTATGACTTTGTGACCTCGTGGCTCGAATAGTTTAAAATTTACGCACAAATATGAGAAAAGAAAATTTATTTTGTTCCATATCAGAAAACTTAAATTTGCTTTCAATAGCTCTTTATGAAGAGGAGTTATGATTGAAAATATTTAAGATTTGAATCTATCGTGCTATTTACTCCAGTGTAAGGTTAGGTTAGATTTAATTGAAAAGGAAGGGAAAAGTTTAAGATTTAGTGACAAAATATAGGTTAAAATTCAACATTTGATTATTGTATGAATATAAAGCCTGAATTATACATGTTACAAGGATTGTCAAATGCAAGAAAGGATTATTTGTCATACAAAGCATTAATTAAAGGATTAAAATATTTGCAATAATGCATGTAGTAGATTTCTTTTACAATATGATTTATTCTCTTCATTTGAAAAATAATTTAGTTTTCATCTTTATGCTTTCAAATCTTAATTTTCTTTAATTTCTGATGAAAACCATGTCTGTAAGAATTTGTAAATTTTGCTGGTTTTTCTAATGAATTTGTTCAAGAGGCAGAACAAGGGCAAACTGTTTCCGACCGTCAGGAAATTGATGTCCTGTCAGCCGTATACACTTGACGCATGCTTCTAAACAACTTCATCATCTGGAAAATATTTATATTTTTTATATTTTCAGATGAAAAATATTTAAAATTTTTAGATGGAAACTATTTATATTTTCATATTTTCATATTTTTATATTTTCAGATGAAAAATGACGAGAGGAAGTGAATAATTTGAAATAATGTTATCATCTACATCTGGTTTACCATTATCCTCATCCTACCATAACCTTTCATCCCAAAACAATGGTTCCAATCCAACTCTAATTCAGGAAACCAGACCTCGGAAATGGCGGGAAAACAATGGTGATTGTGAAAAGAAATTCAGTGAACAAATTCGTAGTGAGAAAATCCGCAATACCCACAGGTCACGTGACCGGCTCGAACAGCCGGCCAAACGAAAATCTCGATCATTACCCCGTGCACCAAAAGAGGAACACGAACATGGTAGTAAAAGGCAACCAAAAGATGAGGAACGGCCTAAAAAACATTATAGAGAGGAAGGTCGTCATTATTCTAGAATAGAAGATGGAACACATCTCAGATCATCTCGAAATCAACTAAATCCGAGAAATCATAAAGGGCAGACATTGAAGTCTGTACTTTCGAAGTCAATGCACCTGTTGGTTGTGCCTCGCGAGGTTGAGGTCCCTGTAGTGGTTGATGAGGTCACCAAGTGGATTGCCGGAGTATCTAATGTGACCACGTGCTCAGATATTATTGACGCCATTTTAACCAAACAGAATAAGAAAGCGAAGGTATGTTATTATTATGCTATTCATTCACAATTATGGCAATAAATCAAATCCAATATATATGTCACTTATACAGGAGGATAGGTGGTCAAATAACAGTGTTGAAGATTTTTTTAGAATAAGATTTTTTTAAAAATTATAATTTGCAAAGAAGTTCTAAGTACTGAATAAAGAAAGAATTATTTTACGATAATAAAAGATCACAGACCACAGTATACTTTTTAAAGTATTCAATAAATTAAAATAACCAATACTTAATTTTAAAACGATGTTAAGGTTTCTCTAAAATATTTTAAATGATAAAATTAAATGTTTGCTTCTCTTAAATATTTTCTCATTTTTTTTACTTTTCGCAATTGTTTTTGGCTTTAAAAAAATAATGATAATTATTAATCCTAATGTTAATGAACTTTATTTTAACTTTAAGATAATTTTTAACCCGGATTTTTACTCACAATTTCATGATCTTGGGTATTAAAGTTTCTTTTTTGTTCCGAGGCAAATAAGTACATTTTATACCGGCAAAGCAGGTGTCCCTTTTTATTTTGCGGATTTCAATAAAAAAATCGAAAATTTATTTAAAACTTGAATTGAATAAATTTATATATCCAACTGCAGTCTTGTGTTATCATAAGGGAAATTACATTTTTGTTGTGATTTTTACTTGAATTTAAACCTTCCTTAAATAAACAACAAAAAAAGAAAAATATTCCGGCAGAAAAAAACATACTGTCCCGCATCATAACACAAGACAGTTACATAAATAGATAAACATTATCCTTGAAAGGTTAACCAAATACTAGCTGCTAAGGATCATAAAGTTTGCTGGTGAGATGAAATATTAAAATATTTTTTATTATTTCAATGTTTTAATTTCTTAAAAATACACTTTGGGATCCGTAACATGAATTAAAATTAAAAGAGGTTATTATGAATGTGTCATTTCACAACATTTAACATCTTTTAAACTAATTTTCGATGCAGTATTTGTCGACAAATGATATTTATATTTGTAAAAAGCGGACATTTTGTTCATCTTTTTGTGCTCTAAATAGTCGACCTGAGAGGACTTAAATGTACTTCATTTATTTATCTATACTGCATAGATATATTTATAGATATAGATAAAAAAAATTAAAAATTCATTAAAGTATAATTTCCTAAAAATCAATTAGATCTTCAAGAGATTATATATAATGAAAACATGAGAGTGCTAGAGCAAACAAAATAAAAACTTAATAGATAGATATTTCATAAATAATGAATTGTCTATTTTGTGTAAAAACTACAGTTCTTTGTTTTAAAAAGGGCGTAGGTCTGTTACACCTGAGTTTATGTGTTGTGTTCAATGGAAACAGAATAATAGTTTGACACTTGACAGTTCATGGAGTTCAGATCTCTCAATCTATATAAAATATCATTTTATTTTAGATTTTTGAATAAAACAAACGTATAATGCATTATATCATGATATTTATAATTGAACGATTTAGATGTTTATTTTCTGTTTTTAATCCAAAATTAATTTGTGCGATAAAAATGCAAGAATTTATTTCTAAATGTTTCACAATTTATTCCAAATGAATTGAAAATTATAAAATTGATCAATCAAGTTTAGTTAGATTGGTTTTCATGTTAATTTATTGCATGTTATAAGATGTGATGCAATATACAGGGGCGGATACAGGGGGGGGCAGCAGGACCTTCGCACCCCCTGACGGATTCAGGGAGGGCGTAGCCCCCCCCCCCCGAGATTTCAGAATAGCTCCTCAATAGCACTTAAAGGAAAGTAAACCTAGTGCAAAACAATAAAAATATCTATCTAAAAAAATTTTCGCCTCCGGCAGGTCTTTTTGTTCCTAAATCTGGATTTTTTTTCGAAATAAATCTAGCACCCCCCCCCCCTCACTTAAATCCTGTTTCCAACCCTGCCTATATAGCATTATGTATTCTCCGACCGTGATCTGGATCATTTCAGATTTCAGCATAGAATGAGATTTTATTGACGACATTAAACTTTAACTATCTTAAGGTTTAATTTTGACCTAAACGTTTAATATAGTCTTCTTGACTTATTGCGTAATAGCAATAATGCTTAATATTTTGACAAAGAAACAAACAAGTTTACAGTTGCAAGCCACCAAGAAGTTAGAAAAAGTCTGATTGAAATACAAACAGTCGTCTCTGGAGTCGTATTTTGGTGGATAACACTGTACTTTACTATAAAATGTTGAAAAATCCCCCATTCCCCTTCATATTGTATATTTTTATTGATTTATATAAACATGAAAATTCCATTAACATTTGTTCTTTTCTTGTTACTAGGTTATTTATTAACTCTTTATTACTCTCCATCTAACAAGTTTTTTCTCATCCTCAAAATTCAAATTTTGTCTCGTACTTTCAAAGCAATGGTATCTAACTGGAGATTTTATAATATGCTAAAATGTTACCTGCAATTAAATATATCATTTAATTCTTTTTTATTTATTCATTTTTCATTTTATCTTAATATTATTTATCAATATTTGCAGGTGGAAGACTATGTTCTTTGTGAACGTTGGAAACGCGTTGACCGGCCATTAAAGGTAAAAAGAGAAAAATAAATAAGACAATTCTCAAAATGAAAAAGTTATTCGTTCCGCTTCTTTTTCTGTTGGTCAATCATAAAAGCTGCATTTAATATATTTAGTATTCTTAAATCAAACTACAAGTTGATTCTTCGCAGTAGATGCAAACATTGATATCATTTTGAAAATTCGGATTTATATATCTTTGCAACCCGATGTATGTCGTAGACCTTTGATATTTCAAACTATGAATTATGCCAGATCAAATATTCTAAGTTTGAGATATATAATTTGAGTTATTCCATGTTTATTTGATACAAACAAATAAATTAACGGAACACCAAGTCAAATATTTGTAGATCAAATCTTTGATAAAGTGTTCCATCTAACATATAAACTATCCAGGCCGGATCTCGAATACTGAGTATATGGGAAGGATGGGGAGAGGATAGAACAAGTGTAAAGTTTGTTCTAAAAAGAATTAGGTATATTTGTATATTCATATTAGTAAATTAAAGTAAATCTACAAGAGAATAAGTAACTGCAAAGATAACTGGACCGAGGAACTGTTTTTGAATTTCCATAAAAACATGTATCTAAAACGTTCGTGTTATTTATATTTAGATCATATCAGATTCCTCTTTTTAGAAGATAAATAAATTATTCGTAAGAAGGAAATGAAGTATAAAGGATAAATTAATAAATGAATGAATGAAAAGATGAGTAAAATAATTTTAAAACACGTATTTATAGGATGAATCAAGAAATGAAAGAATTTAAGGATGAATAAAAGATGAAAAGAATAAATAAATAATAAATAAAGTAAAAAGATTATTTAATAAATAAATCAAAATTTTATAAATTAATGAATAGAGGAATGAATTATTGAATGAATTTATGGATGAATAAATTAATAAAATTAAAAATGATAGGAAAATTTTATAAAGTAATAAATTAATAAAAGAATGAAAAAATGGATAAATGAATAAATAATGTTATGAATCAATTTAGAAATGAATCAAACAAATAGTTGTTAATAAATGAAAGGATAAATGAAAGGATAAATGAATAAATGAAAAATGAATGTTACTGATCAGGGTGAGTCGGAACCCAGTGATTAGAAAGGATTCTAAACTTTGGAGAAAACAGCAGAGTGGTACAAACTCAGATACCAGGTACATACCCGGATACTAGATACCTAATCGGATACCAGGTACTTACCCGGATACTAGGTACCTACTCGGACACCAGGTACATATCCGGATACCAGGTACGTACTTGGATACCAGGTACTTACTCAGATACTTTAGGGGCCTACCCGGATACCAGGTACATACACAAATACTTGGTACCAACGCAGATACCAGATACCTACTTAGATACTAGACACCTTCTCAGATACTTGATACCTACTCAGACACCAGGTACCTACTTAGATACTAGACACCTTCTCAGATACTATATACCTACACAGAAACCTGCAGGTACCTACTCAGATACCAGGTACCTACTCAGATACCAGATACCTACTCAGATACCAGATACCTACTCAGATACCAGATACCTACTCAGATACCAGGTACCTACTCAGATACCAGATACCTACTCAGATACCAGATACCTACTCAGATACCAGGTACCTACTCAGATACCAGGTACCAACTCAGATACCAGATACCTACTCAGATACCAGATACCTACTCAGATACCAGGTACCTACTCAGATACCAGGTACCTATTCAGATACCAGATACCTACTCAGATACCAGATACCTACTCAGATACCGGGTACCTACTCAGATACCAGGTACCTTTTTAGATACCAGATACCTACTCAGACACCAGATACTAGGTACTTGCTCGGATAAAAGGTGCATACCCAGATAACAGGTACTTAAACTAGGATACCAGATACATACCCAGATACCAGGTACTTAAACTAGTTTACCAGATACATACCCAGATACCGGGCACTTACTCAGATACCCGTGTATTTACTTGTATACGGACCAGGTGTATACTCAGATAACAGGTACGTACCTACTCGAATACCAGGTACTTACTCGGATACCAGGTACTTACTCGGATACAAGATACCTAGTACCACTACCAAAAAAATACTTAGAAATACGTAAAAAATATTCCAAATAAATGAATACATGTAATTGAGGAACAGCAGTTAAAGGAAGTGCTTTGACTGGAAAATTATCTAATTAATATTTTAATAATTTCTATCCAATCAAATATTAAACGCAATAATTATGTAAGAGAAAGTTGTATTAAGCACGCGAGAGACACACAAGTAAAGATAAATAGATAGATAGATAGATAGATAGATAGATAGATAGATAGATAAATAGATATAAAAGTCATGGTTCATCTGCCTATAACTGTTGTGTGGATTTACTGGGAAATTGTTGAAGAAAAGATGGAATACCTAGTTGTTTAAATGATAAAACCTAGGGATTCAACTATCAATTTTCAAAAGGGGATTTATGTTTTATGTTTTATGTTTTATGTTTTATGTTTTATGTTTTATGTTTTATGTTTTATGTTTTATGTCATTCAAAACCTCAGCATTTGGTTGGATGGGACTATTAATAAATTGATTACTTCTTTCGTGGTAGATTATTGAATCCTAAATTAGTTTAAAATTAATGTACCTTTTTCGATAGATTAAAATCTTTGCTTTTTTTGTTCCAAACATATTTTTTTAAGTATTACCAGATATTAAAGAATTTACTACAGTTAGATAATATCAAAATATAGAAAAAGTACCATAAAGTAATTAGAATAATGCATAAAAATGTGTTGACATTTTAATGTTTACTGTATTAATAAAGAAAATGAGGCTTGACCCCCCCCCCCCGGCCTGCCCCCCCTCTTCACTCTGAAGCGTATGCGTACGCACATAATAAAAGTAATTACTATGTTTATACATCCGTTAAATTTCCAATATATTATTAACAAATGATTCTCTAATTTAATTATTTAATTCTATGATTGGAATTTTTCTATGTCATCACAGCGGAATTTTTAACATATGATAAATAAGAAATCCATAAAAAGCAACATAGATAGATATGAAATTAGATAAAACCGAGCTTTTTGGCAAGAACAGGCTAGTGGCAGAGCGCTGAGGCTAGAACAGAATTGGGAAGTTTCCGCTTGGGAAATTACACACTTGGGAAGTTGCCACTTCGGAAAATACCCTTGGGAAATTACCGCTTTGTAAAATGCCTTTGGGAAAGTAGCTAACATTATCTTTATACAATCATTTTTTGAGGCGCATTAAACTAGCGGGGGGTGGGGGTGGGGGTTAGAGATTGTGAAAACGTAAGTATTTTCTAAGAAATATGCTAAATTCTGATATAATTATTTTAAAATTGCTCCTCTATGGCACACATTATTGAATAAATAACTTTTTACTCTTTGTTTACATAACTCGATCCTATCCTACGTGACTCTGTCCTATCCTACGTGACTCGATCTTATCCTACGTGACTCGATCCTATCCTACGTGACTCGATCCTATCTTACATGACTCGATCCTATCCTACGTGACTCGATCCTATCTTACATGACTCGATCCTATCCTGCGTGACTCGATCCTATCCTACGTGAGTTGATCCTATCCTACGTGACTCGATCCTATCCTACGTGACTCGATCCTATCCTACGTGACTCGATCCTATCCTACGTGAGTTGATCCTATCCTACGTGACTCGATCCTATCCTACGTGACTCGATCCTATCCTTCGTGATTTATGTATTTTAGAACAATTGTATTTAATCTTTGCCAACGGTTGTTGCCATTGAATTGAAACATTTAAAAAGAATATGGACAAAATACTGTCAGGAGGAACTTTATAAGACTTTTTTTTTAATAAATGCACTCAATCGTTTATTTTACCACAAACCTGCATTTAAAATACATGAATAATCCCTTTAATGCAAATCTTCTTGTTTAGGCATCCATCCAGTTTAACCAGACCTAAGAAGGAGAAAAGAAAACATGCAGATCCAGTTCAGGTATTATAGATGTACATTGTACTACAGGTGCAGATATATTATAGATGTACATTGTACAGGTACAGATATATTATAGATATACATTGTACAGGTACAGATATATTATAGATGTACATTGTACAGATACAGATATATTATAGATGTACATTGTACAGGTAGAGATATATTATAGATGTACATTGTACAGGTACAGATATATTATAGATGTTCATTGTACAGGTACAGATATATTATAGATGTACATTGTAGAGGTACAAATATATTTTAGATATACATTGTACAAGTACAGATATATTATAGATGTGCATTATACAGGTACAGATATATTATAGATGTGCATTGTACAGGTAGAGATATATTATAAATGTACATTGTACAGGTACAGATATATTATAGATATACATTGTACAATTGTACAGATATATTTTAGATGTACATTGTACAGGTACAGATATATTGTAGATGTACATTGTACAGGTACAGATATATTATAAAAGTACATACAGGTATAGATATTTTATAGATGTACATTGTACAGGTAAAACTAACTTATATATGTACATGTACAGATCATTTGTATATGTACAGGTACAGATTATTTATAGATGTAAAGGTAGAGATAGTTTATAGATGTACAGGTACAGATACGGAATGTTGCAACTTTCTGAATTTACATGAACGCTACGTTCTTCGGTATGAGTCGTTTTTACATTCTCTCCTTATAAACGCAATAGATTAAAATTGTACTTACAAATGAAATATTTTCTTGAATAACCTACATGATACTGATTAAAAAATAATAAATCATTAATTATGCTTGACAAGGAATAGAATCCAACCCAATGAACCGAGTCAATGTATAAATTGTTTTTCGTCTTATAATCTGATTTCTAAGTTTTTAAATATTTGCTGATTTAATCTTAAAAAATAAAGAAAAGAGGTTTCTTCTCAAGGATTGAGATCACATATGCCTGGTTATAAAAAAGCACTTGTCCTTAGCTATGGTTTTTAAGAAGTGATTGGCAAAATTCTTTTTGATTTTGCTTGAGAGCTTGCAACCTTGTTATCACAGTGAGATAGACATGTTTTCTAAATCTTTCAGTTTGTCACTTGACTTCTAAAGTACAAAGTCAAACCAGTTTCATCGATAATTAATTTCATTTTTTGCAGGATATAATCGGGAAAATTCTAAATCAGCAAAATAGTCTAAGGGAGCAGCTGAAACGGCTAGAACAGCAGGAGAAACAGGAAAACAAGAGAAAATTGGAGAAACAGGAGGTAAAATATATAAATTTCAGTAAACCGTAGGAGAAACGAGAAAAACTTGAAAATCTGGAGGTAAGAAATATAAAATCTACTAAACAGTAGGAGAAACAGGAAGAAACTAGAGAAACAGGAGGTAAGAAATATAAAATTTACTAAACAGTATGATGAAACAGGAACACTGGAGGAAACTAGAGAAACAGGGGGTAAGAAATAAAATTCACTAAACAGTCGGAGAAACTGGAAAACAGGAGAATACTACAGAAACAGAAGGTAAAATATTAAAAATTCACTAAACAGCAGGAGAAACAGGAAAACTGGAGGAAACTAAAGAAACAGGAGATAAGAAATATAAAATCCACTAAACAGTAAGAGATTTTTAAGAACTTTAAACCATGCGAATATTATGATGATCATGTTTGATTAATGATTAGTAAATAGAATAAAATTGGCTAAACACTGCTTAATGGGGTGATTTAAATCAGTGGTTTTTGTGTGTGTGGGGGGGGGGCGAAATTTGATTTTGAGGGGCTGGGTTGGGGGTACAGGGGGGCAGGCTAGCCCCCCGGTGAAATTTTTTTTAATCGTTGAAGGGTTGGCTCTGTACTTAATAATATACTAAATTCTTATAATAACCATGTTTTGTTCTTGTGTTTAAAAAAATATACTTCCAGCAGCTCTAAAATGTACGACATGAGTGAATTAAATAAACATTTGCTCTTCTTGTGTCTTTTCATGTACTTCTTGGTGTCTGTTAGTCCCTGGCATTGTCATATTCACTATGTATATAAAGTCCCCTATAACAGTCTACAGCAGTTTTTTTTAATTCATTCACTATATAGTCATATTTGTCCACTATATGGTTCCTTAATCGTAGGTCTGTGCAGTACTAAGTAGTAATTATAGTTCCTGGCAGCACTTGACTATATTTAGTCTGTCCATGATTCATAATAGACTTTCTGATTGAAGTCCCTCTGTCCTTGTTTGCCAGTAAGGAGCTTATCCCAGTCTGCAAAAGTCCTAATAGTCCGATATAATCCTTATTATATTTCTTGTTATTCTTTTTTTGTATTTTTTTCTTAATTGACAAAATTTGATAAAAGATGGTCCACAATCATGATCATGTCAAATGAGGGGTGGGCGAGAGGGGGGCGAAATATGCTGAGGGGGGGGGGGGTTCTCGGTTCGCCCCTCTTAGTTGTGCCACTGATTGAAATAATATTTTGTTGGAATAAACTTTTTTTTGTTACAGGATCCTGGGAAGAATGAAAAAGGGAAAAATTACATCATGAAAACTTTTCTCAGGTAAGAAGAGAAACCAATACTTGATTAAACATATCCTGGTTAACTATTGACCAACCAATCAAGACTGTGGTCATTATCATTAATAAATACTTATTATTTCAAAACAAATGAATTTCTACCTCTTGGCATTGTTGCTGATTAGATGATTAGAATTTATTCAAAAATAAATTCTAATTAATCACGTCATCGTAATTATAAAAGTGACTCTACAATTCTTTATCCCCGTCAATGATGAAGATTATCCTTGTTTTGTATTTAGAATGAGGACACATTTTTCAATCTCCTTTCCTTGTTTTGTATTTAGAATGAGGATACATTTTTCAACGTCCTTTCCTTGTTTAGTATTTAGAATGGGGATACATTTTTCAACCTCCTTTCCTTGTTTTGTATTTAGAATGAGAATACATTTTTCAACCTCCTTTCCTCGTTTTGTATATAGAATGAGGATATATTTTTCAAACACCTTTCCTTGTTTTGTAATTTAGAATGCGGATACATTTTTCAACCTCCTTTCCTTGTTTGTATTTAGAATGGGGATACATTTTTCAACCTCCTTTCCTTGTTTTGTATTTAGAATGAGAATACATTTTTCAACCTCCTTTCCTTGTTTTGTTTAATTTTAAGTTTAAAAATTAAGAATATTTCTTTAAAGGAAGTGTATATTTTAAATTACGACGACGGTACCTTTAAGATTATCACTAGAAAAATCACAAATATAAAATCGACAGTGGCGATCTCAAAATATCTTCCTCTACCGTTGATATTTACAGGAGGTTTCGCACAGAGGATGAGACTTAAATTCATGGTTTTCAGAAAATTTGAACTTTTTCCTTTTCTTGCCAGATAGTTGTGTAAAAACGCATTTAATCCTCTATACTTTAATATTAAAGGAGTTTATGGTTGACACCCAACCACTATGGTAACCTCGTATGCATTTACAACAAGACACATAATATAAAGCTTTGATAAAATTTTTGTATTTTCTTTTTCTTTTTCTTGCCAGATAGTTATGTAAAAACGCATTTAATCTTTTATACTTTAATATTAAAGGAGTTTATGGTTGACACCCAACCACTGTAGTAACCCCGTATGCATTTACAACAAGACGCATAATGTAAAGCTTTGATAAAGTTTTTTTATTTTCTTTTTGTAATTAATTAATTTTGTATTTTTAGTACTATGGAGCAGGGAGATGAGTTATATAGCCATGATAGTGGGATTGGTAGCGCTATGGTTACCCATACAGATTCTGAGTATAAAGTAAGTTACAAGGAACTAAATTCTTTTCATAAAAACAAATTTTCTGATGTTGAAAACCTTTGATATTTGATATTTATCATAGTTAGAAATAGTCTATGACATGGGGTTACAAAGATATAGTGATAAAAAATCTGAGATTGTGGTTACTCATCAGCCGAATCTAAACAGATATATTTGTATCAAAATAAAGTTCAAAAAGGAAGGTACAACAGAAGGAAGGTACAACAGAAGGAAGGTACAACAAAAGGAAGGTACAACAGAAGGAAGGTACAAGGAAGGTACAACAAAAGGAAGGTACAACAGAAGGAAGGTACAACAGAAGGAAGGTATACAACAGAAGGAAGGTACAACAGAGAAGGAAGGTATACAACAGAAGGAAGGTATACAACAGAAGGAAGGTACAACAGAAGGAAGGTACAACAGAAGGAAGTTCAACAGAAGGAAGGTACAACAGAAGGAAGGTACAACAGAAGGAAGGTACAACAGAAGGAAGGTACAACAGAAGGAAGGTACAACAGAAGGAAGGTATACAACCCATGTCGTCCTTTTGTTTACAGAAAAATTGTACAGCAATTCCTTGCTTAGGCTGAATTAGTTTATATTTCTTCTAGAATCTACATACAATACATGTTTTTGTGAATAAAGATTAGAGTTGAGTTACATTTTAATACAATTTTTCCATTTTCCAATAAATTTGAATCATTCAAACCTTTGTATTACAAGATATTTTGAAGAAAAACCATATTTTTCTTCTAATTTAAAATACAGTGATAATCAGAAAACTGTGGAAAAAGTTAAGTTGGTCTGTTTACACTGCACATTTGTTGTGTATCAAGTTCATTGGACTCTTACAGTCGTCTTCCTATTCCAGAGTTTTCTGGTTCTCAGTCTCACTGTAGTGGCACAAAAAGGTTTAATGCAACGAAATAATCCATTAATTACTATATCCTTGCAACTACCCAAATCCTGGAGATTTTTGCGTCTAAATGTTCATATTTTCTTTTATAGCGGCCATTTTTAATTTGAAATATCATAGATCTACATCCACCATTGTAAACATGTTAAATTTATTCTTATTTTCCAGTCTATGGATTATCTGGCAGATCTAGCAGAAGATGATGTGGAAAAGGATGAGGATGAGGAAGAGGAGGATATTGAAGAAATTCTAAAAGTTCTGGAAAGTATTGTGAGCCTAAATGCTCAGATTCAGGTAGAACTATTTCTTCCCTATGCCCAGCTGCAGGCGACATTTTGATTTCTTGCATTTTTAAAAACAATTTCAATTAAATAAAAGTAAGAATAAGGATTCACAGTAATATTTCCAGTCACAATTTATCACTTTTTTATGTTTTTAGAAAAATCAATTTGTTTTGTAATTATTACAGGCGAGGGAAGAAGAATTGATTGATATTGAAGAAAATATTAAAAAGCAGGTACTGCACATTGTCAATTATTTCAAAATTTTTAAAAATGCAATAAATGTTATAATTTCCAAATATATTGATCAGGAGGTAGATGAAGGATCTGAAGAGAAGAAAAGATTGGAGACCGATCTAGAGAATATGGTTCAAATCAATTCAAGGTATACAAGTCACTGTAATCTTGTCAGGATACATTTGTTGCATAAAACGTGCTGGGTCTACACAGGGTAGACCAGACTGGACAATACGACTGAATGCGCATGTAAAGTACTTGTTGTACCGGCACGGATCATTCAACTTTTAAAATGGTGTGATGTACACTGTACTCTGCACAGGGAATATTGGATATTAAAATGTCTTAAAAAAACTAAAAACATTCTGAAAATATCTAAAAATTAATGATAGTGGCTTTAGACTGATCTTGAAACACCCATTTTTGCGGTGCAGGTTTGTAAAAATATTCTTTTCCGTCAAAGTCGAATTTGTCTTACTAGAGATTTTACAGAAATAATTATCGTCGTTGTTCAGATTTTTGTGCTCCATACAATTCCAGTTAAAGTAAATTAGATTTAGAAAATTCTGTAAAAATCGACCTTTCCTTGTAGCTGTACACTTACAAAATGCACTATATCTTACACTGCACTATTTTTACAATAAGTTTTTACATCGTTATTTTCTTTTTTTGTTACCACAAAAATCAAACTTTATATTATGTAGAACTCTGGATTTTAATAATAAAAAAATTGTATTTTTACTTTTCTTTTTCCATACAACTATTCCATAAAAAAATGTATTTCTTGTTTCTTAAATTAGTAATCTTCACATGTAATTAAGTTTCCCGCGCGTGTTGATGTAATTGTTAATTAACTTTTTAGATTAAGCTATGATATTAAGAGGAATGATTTTTCTTTATCACACATGGTTAAAAACTACGAGGTAAGCTCTTTTCAACACATTTAATAACAAAATGACGCTGAAGTGTAAAATTGATCATCTTTTTTCTACAGTTGTCGTCGCATATATCAATTTAATAAATACGATTTTTTATTTCAATTTTTATTTATATCAAACTGTTAAACATCATGGATACAAATAAACATAGAGATCAAGAGAAGCGTCAATTAAAAAGCTTCTCTTTGATTACTTGTAATTCGTAAAAAGCTTGTTAACAATCAAAACTCAATTTAAAAAGTCGTCTTCATTATATTGATATAATCGCCTACCACGATGTTTTACGGCAAAGAATAAGAAAATCCAACATTATGGCGACACCTTGGAAATTATAAACATTTTCATTTTTCTCATTAGCGCTTCAATAGGAGGAGTTTATATAATTGAAAAATTTAGTTATGTTTGACGTGCATTTATAAAATGGCGTACAATTAATTACTTTTACCAATTTTAACCGAATATTTTTAATATTTTTAGGGTAGGCGAACCTTTCTCAGGACAATTGAAATAGACATTAACAGGTGAAAAATATACGATTAGCTTTTTGGACTGAACGCCGTCTGATTATAAAAAACGTCGCATTGATTGAAACCAAACAAGTTTCTCTGATAGGGTTTAGTAGATTTGAATCTAATAAATACAAAACAATAAGAAATTATCTTAAAATATGAAAATAATATCCCCTCAAATTACAAGCATGAACAAATCCACAATCATACAAGGGAATCTTCAAAATCCATGAGTTTAGAGTATTTGCATCTTTAAAGGTTAAAAGATGAAAATTCCTTTGATATTTCAAACCCAGATTATTTGATCTAACAGAATTCAAAGTTTAAAATATCAAAGGTCTACGCCATTGGATTGAAAAGATATTAAGGTTTAGAAAATCAGATTTTTTTGGCAAAGACTTAATTCATTAACATATGTAAATCCATGGAAATGCAATGTTACATAAAACTGATCAATAAATCATGTATATAATATAAATCAAACAGTCACTAGGCCGCATCAGCAATACTGTAATTAAGTTTATATTTTATTTATATTTTTTCATTAAAAAAATAAAGGTATTCTTTTTTATGAAAAGACAATACGTATGAATCCCGGTAATCTAAAGTGTTCTTTATTAATAAATCAATGCCAATTTAAACCCAGGAGGGATTCGATGATAAACCTGAGAGTAATTGATACACATATCGATTAAATTAATATTTGTTCAAGCCATACTCCATTTAAATTGTACAAAGATCCAGACTTCTATTAAAAGTTGCATCAATTTCTAAGACTGGGTCGGTTTTAAAGTGTAGCAAGGATTTTTGATTTTATCCAACTAATTCAAGTTTACAAGTTTGTTGGCTTCAAAGTGTTTGATTTTACCTAACGGATTCAAGTTTACAATTTTTTAGTCCTAGATATGTACATTTTGTAGTCCTAGACATGTACATTTTGTAGTCCTAGATATGTACATTTTGTAGTCCTAGACATGTACATTTTGTAGTCCTAGATATGTACATTTTGTAATCCTAGACATGTACATTTTTTGTAGTCCTAGACATGTACATTTTGTAGTCCTAGATATGTACATTTTGTAGTCCTAGATATGTACATTTTGTAGTCCTAGTAGATATGTACATTTTGTAGTCCTAGAAATGTACATTTTGTAGTCCTAGATATGTACATTTTTTAGTCCTAGAAATGTACATTTTGTATTCCTAGACATGTACATTTTGTAGTCCTAGACATGTACATTTTGTAGTCCTAGATATGTACATTTTGTAGTCCTAGACATGTACATTTTGTATTCCTAGACATGTACATTTTGTAGTCCTAGACATGTACATTTTGTATTCTTAGACATGTACATTTTGTAGTCCTAGACATGTACATTTTGTAGTCCTAGTTATGTACATTTTGTAGTCCTAGACATGTACATTTTGTAATCCTAGTTATGTACATTTTGTAGTTCTAGATATGTACATTTTGTAGTCCTAGATATGTATATTTTGTAGTCCTAGACATGTACATTTTGTAGTCCTAGATATGTACATTTTATAGTCTTAGATATGTACATTTTGTATTCCTAGACATGTACATTTTGTAGTCCTAGATATGTACATTTTGTATTCCTAGACATGTACATTTTGTAGTCCTAGACATGTACATTAGTCCTAGATATGTACATTTTGTAGTCCTAGACATGTACATTTTGTAGTCCTGGATATGTACATTTTGTAGTCCTAGAAATGTACATTTTGTATTCCTAGACATGTACATTTTGTAGTCCTAGACATGTACGTTTTGTAGACCTATATATGTACGTTTTTGTATTTTGTAGACCTATATATGTACATTTTGTAGTCCTAGACATGTACATTTTTTAGTCCTAGACATGTACATTTTTTAGTCCTAGACATGTACATTTTGTAGTCCTAAACATGTACATTTTAAAATTTTAAAGCACTTTTTAGCATCAATAGTTTTCATTGTGGGTTCTTTATAAGATTTCTGCTTCTGAAATAATGGAAGGAGGAAATCGTAAGAAATTAACTCAAACTAGGAAACGACAATATCTTCCACAATATTTATCAGAAAAAGGATAAAAGGGTATCGCATGTGCCTCGTTAATTGAACAAAATCTTTTAAAAGGGAGCAAAGTCAAGGAAGTTTCAAAACAGAAATTTTGTGCAAAAAATGCATCTAGAAATATCTATATTCTACATTGTGCTTTTGAAATACTTTGAGTTTATTTTGATTAACTATTTAATGTTTAGAGCTGAAAGCTACGGAAAGAAACTACAGAAAGAATTTGAGAGAGAATATGAAACCCTGGAGACATGCAATAGTATTCTTAGGTAACAATAGTAATAATAATAATAATAATAATAATAATGATGATAATAGCAATATGATGATAGCATATTATATCATAATAACAGCGATAATATTAATTTTAATAATGATGATAATTATAATGGTTATGATAGCAATACTAATAATAAGAATAATAGTAATAATGAAAGTTCCAATAATAATGGTAATAATAATTGATAAAACATCTGAATATTCCAGTGTTCCTGAAGACGAGGTTGAGGACGATAGAACTCTAGAATTAGTTAATCATAACAATACTTCTTCCATGCAACAACAACAACAACAACAACAACAACAACAAGTACAAGTACAACCGCAGAAGGAAGATCATTCATCGTTATCATTGAAAAGACATGCAAGCATCAAAGATCTTGATAAGATTGATGAACACTTTAAACTTGAAGATGATTCTGGTGTAGGACTGGAGCAAAATGATCTTGAAAATGAATTTCAAGTATCAGCAACAAACCTACCTTTCGGGCAACTAATTTTAGATCTTATAGATCATAGTGAAGATCTTGATACAGAACGTGAAGATCATAATGCTGATCATGATTCAGAAACTGAAGATCATCTAGGAGAAAGTTCTAGTTAAATAATTTTCGAGTTTAGAATTATGCTTCTCAAGATTGTAAAGTACAACTCTTGGAAAATTCCAAAATACTCAGAAGTTTTTTCTCAAATAGAAGATGAAGCAGAGTATGAAGTCTTTCTTCCAGAAAAGTCAATTGACATTTTATCATCTTGTATTCCAAAGAAACCCCTTTTTGATTGTGATATACAAAATACTTATATATCAGTGATAATGAATAACTGAAACCAAAGAAAACTAATCTTTATAATATTTATAAAGATATAAACCAGAGCTTTATATTTAAATGTTTATTTAATAACTTTGTACTAAAGTTTTTGCTTTTGTGCACGAACGGCATAAAATTGATTTAACAACGGAAATTATTCTTGATTTCTTTCTTCTATCTAAAAAATCTATCAATGATATTTTTGCACAGCAAATTGCCTTATTTATGTAATTGTGCTAAAAATCAATCTTTCATGCGCGCGTTAAAGACATATTTCAATTTTTTTGTAAACTTATAAACTTGATATACTAGTCAATCTCTGGGTCTCGTGCAATGTACATAATAAATAGTATAAATAGTAAAATTTTAAGTTAAAATATAATAAAGTTTTTTGTTTTATTACAATTTTATCATTTTTTACGGTAATCAGCGTTTACTAATTTCCGCCCACCCTGGACTAACTAGGGCTAAATATGTTCGGTTTCTTTAATTTGTATTCGATCGCATTGTGGTGTATAATTCAACCATACACAGATATCATCTAAAATGCATTCACAGACAAAAAAGTATAAGAGAGAAAACAAAAGTTCACATCCAATTGTATTTTTTTTTTATGTGACTGGACCGAACTGTAAAATGCATGTGTACCATCTACATAATAAGTAAACAGTTTTAGTCACCATCCGACCTAAGAGGATTTTGACAGAGGTTGATTTCATAAAACATGGAATATGGAAAAGATGTTGGTTAAAATTAGTCCAGGGGGAGGGACATTTGTTATTTACACAATTACAGTTAGTTTTTTCACCTTTCTTTTTATAATGATTTGTTTATGTACTTTCTGTTTAGAAAAACATGAGTTTACATGTACACATAATTTATACAGATTTTTATCTTCAATACCTAGAAGATTTAATGGAATTAGGAGTTTTCCTAGTCTTAGGGTGTAATACAGGGCTAACCATTAAAGGGACTGCAGTAAACGAAAAATGAAAGAGGGTATAGGCTGAAAGCTGATCACTTTAGCTCTTGATCGCGACCCATGAAAGTTTTATCTGATGTTCCTGTCTCGAGAAATTGATATAAAACTGTGTTAAAATTATACGAAAGTTCATATATGTAAAATTTCGAAAATCACGTGACCAAAACTATCACCAATGGCAGAGCAGTATACTGGTCACGTGTCTCCGCCTGTATCACGTGACCACTTTACTGCACTGCCATTGGTTGAATTTCTGGTCAAGCAATACAGAGTGAGACGTATAAATAATATTATGAATTAAATCTATAAAAAATAGAAATAACAAATATAAAATTAGAATTGGAGTAAACCTAAGTTACAATTAGCTTTCTCTGGGATATCATCGCTGTCAGATTGGTTGCATATTTACTGAATTTGATCTATTTAAACCCACTACTTTTATACAAAATTGTATATATATTAATTTTCGTATAAATTTAACAAAGTTGTAAATCAGTTTCTCGAGATTGGAACATCAGATATAACTTTCATGGGTCGCGATCGAGAGCTAAAGTGATCACCTTTCAGCCTACACCCCCTTTCATTTTTCCTTTACAGTCCCTTTAAACATGAGACTTCAGAGACATCTATCACATAATTTATGCAGTAAGGGAAAGGAAGGAAATATAAAGAAAACAAGGATATCTTTCTCATTGTTGATCCTGTAAAGTACCGTTGTGAATCAAACGGTCTATTTAAAATCATGAATTAAAATTTCAGAAACACTTTATCATTAGGTTAAATTTCTTAATCTTTCCTCCTGTGTTATATTTTTTCAAAACTATGTTCAGTCCCTTTTCCTTTCGACAATCACTTAAGAAATAAAAGATTGATATTTTAAAGTAAGCTGACCACAAATTACTGGGAACGGTTGAACCCTGTGACCACAAGATTATCGCGAATATTTACTTCTCATTCATAAACCTAAAACAGAACAGATGTTTACCTTATACAAAAATACGAAAAAGAATTTTTTAATCATATGTTTGTATGTTTCTTTATTTAGATGTTCGATTATCTATAACTCAGGAAGCACTTGACTAATTTGACTCAAATTTTGATTTGAGAATCGGAAAAATCCCGGGAATCATTTGAATTTGGTTTTAAAATTTCTAAATTTAATGTGTTGACTTTTACAGGAAAACCAGGCAAATTAATCTGAGTTCTCAAGCACTATAACAAAAAACGAGTTTTAAAAATATTATTCAGCGTATTCACGGTTCTCCGACGTCGCTGGCGTGCTTTCACTGTAAGTGGTAGCTTTTCCCATTGCAATGTGTACCCTAAGCACAAATTTAAATAGTAGCTTAATATCTCTAAATATTTATTAGGATATGTTCGCTGCTAAAGTTTAAAAAAGCCCTACATAGTTCTAAAAAAATCTTGAATTTATCCTGTCATTTATCATTTTCTTCGTAATCGTCCATTTTTGATAGGTTTATGGGCCATCTCATTCAATTTAAATGTATTTTTTTCAAAAATTCTTTGATTGAAAACAAAAATTGATATGGTGGAACAAAATCATGGCATTTTTATTTTACTTTCTTTAGCAGTATATAAAATTTTGCAAGCGATTATCTCATAGAATTTAAGAGCTGTCGACCTAAAATTAGCAGAAATTACTTACAAGGCACAGTATGTAGTGCATGGATCATTTGTGGTCTGTGGACACCTGAATGCACAATATACTGTACTCACTACTAAAGGTCACTGTAATTTTACACATTAAAGTTTAAGCATTGTTTTTTATAATTTATTTTAATTAAGAATAGGTACTGTTAATTCCTAATATAAATTCAGATTCCTGCATACCAACCTCTCTTATCTATATAGTTTATATTGCTTTAGCTCCTTCAGATCCTTCAGTCGGACATTTCTAAATCGCGAAACGTACTCTTTTTATTGGTCATAACTCATCAAATGTAAAAGGAGCCATTTAAATCTATTCTAAACATTTTCGCAAAGCATAGATTGGAGTTATTTCTAAACCTGCCTAAATTAAAGTGAAATATGTGTTTGAAATCAAAGTAAAGATGAGATTATATGTCGTCTCAATTGATCATTTCTGTGGGAATTCCAACATTTCCTTCGGCGGCGCTACCAGATTTGGCCCTCCCTCGGCTCGATACTGTTTATGACAATATCTTACAACAAAATGATGTTGATAGGAAAAAAAACTAAATATTTTTTAAGTCAAAACCTGCAAAAGATAGTTGCGACGTAGCTTGCTCAAATTCATTAATTTTGGCCACAGACAGAAAAGCTATTTGGAGTATGGACGGAAAAAAGATGACACTTTTTTTAATAACTTTGAGGACAATTAATATTAAGATACTAAAGTAAACATAAGTTGACGAAAAAAGGGAAAATAAGACATAAAAATTACAGAAACATAAGTAATTTTTAAACAGAGGGAAATTTATAATAAAAGTATTTATGTTTTTTTCTTTTAAATTATGTGTTTGTCTCAAATAATAAGATCACGGTGTAATTGTATTGCATTAAATACAGGGTTTCACACGAAACAAGACAATTGGTGAATAGTTTAAAATGTCTTCTTCCATAATATGTCAAGTTTTTTATTACCATAGAGAATAATAATAAATATTCATAAGTAAAATATATTTGAGTAAAGTTTTTTTTTAAACTAAATAAACTGGAAAAAGTCTTTAATATCTAATACAGTATATGGAAGAATACATTAAAAACTATTCACCAACTGTCATGTTTCGTGGGACACCAGGGTGTAAGTTTAAATTTCCCTAACTAGTTGTTAAACGAAAAATAATATCTTGAAACTCACATTTTTTTTAACTACTTTTCATAATTTATGTCTTTTGAAAATATGCTTTTTTGAGAATAATGGCAGTAAAATAGTGTTTAAAATGCAATAGAAAATTGCATACCTAGATGGTCACAGTGCTCTGCACCTATCCGCGGTGCTCGGCAAATAATCACTACCTGTCATAATCCAAAATATCAACTTAAAAAAATATTGAAGGTATTTTACCCAATCCTGCATATAGATGATCAAACTAGCGGAGTTGTATACAATCAATGGTGCAGCACCTAATATAGTCTAGTTTATAAAAGGATAAAGAGGATTAGGGGGAGTCTGGAAGGGAAGGTGGAACAAGGGAAGGGGAGGCG